CCCATAGAGAGGTTCATGAGATAGTGATCTAAACTCGAAAGTCCTATACTAAGGAACTTGTCGTCCAATGGTACCAGGTTGCTTTGCTATATGGGAGATAGTGGGTTCGAGCCTCGTAGTAGTTTGTATATGTGGGTATCTCCTTCCCTTGTAATTAAAAAAAAAACTCAAAAATCCTATTTGCTAGGTATGCGTGTCAGGCCATAGAAACACAATTTATATTTTAAAAGTTCACAATTTCAATACTAAAAATACACAATTTATACGTCGTTTAAGGTTAGGGTCGACCAGGTGGAAGGTGGACCTTGGTGCATGGTATAACAACTCACATATATGACATGTTGTAGAGGGCAAATTATGCCGTGCATCCGTATGCACCATGCATGGTGCATACGGATGCAAAAACGACGTCGTTTTAATAAAACGCGCGTCTCCCTTTAATAAAAAAAACCAGGTTCGATTCCCAACAACAACATATGAACTAAATTTCCATAATCGATGAACTATAATTCCATAATCTAATCTATGAACTAAAAATTCCAGAATGAATGAACTAAAATTCCATAATCTATAAACTAAAATTTCAGAATCGATGAACTACAATTCCATAATCAATGAACTATAATTCCATAATCAATGAACTAAAATTCCAGAATGAATGAACAATATAATGTTGTTGCTGGGAATCGAATCTGAATTTTTTGTAAAGGGGAGATGCGCGTTTTTTAATAAAACGACGTCGTTTTGGTATCCGTATGCACCATGCATGGTGCATACGGATGCACAGCATAACGATTGGTCGTAGAGATTGTGGAGGCCCATCTTTTTAGTTGGATTAAACTAATATTGGGGCCTCCAACAACGAATTGGGCGGCCTACATTTTACATCTTCAAACGGGTTGTTACATGGGTTACCCAAATTAAATTCGGGCTCCCATCAAGGTTCTAAGTTCTAATCAGTAAGCATTCTACTACTCACCTTCGGAAACCCCAATCTAATTAGGAACAATCGAATCAGCCACCGCCGGAGAGGCGGTACCTCCGCCGTTCATCGCCACCTCTGAGCTCCGTCACTGCAGTCCTTTGCCGTTCTTCCCTCTGGGAGCAGCGAGCCTTCAACCCCGTACTAGCAAAGGTAACGAGAATATCAATTTTGCATCTTTTTTTTTTTTTTTCGGAATTTTTACTTAGGAATTTATATGTTAGTATATTACTTAGCTGTGTTCGAGCTCATTTCTTTATGATTTGTTTGTAGTTATCTTTCTGCTTAAGTTTAGGGTTAGAGATTTTTGGTATTCGGTGTAGTGGTCAATTACCTGCCATGAGCTAAAGTTCTGAAAATTTTCCTTCCCCGAATAATGGATGATGGCATTTTAGTTATCAGTAAACTAGACTGAGGTGAAGGAATCGCGTTTGAGCTTGGAGGGGGGCTTCAGATTTTAGTAATTTAATATTGTTATTATATAATGAATATGGTGGTCACAGAGCAGAGTGCATTGTTCGTGTTGGGATTATTTCTTTTAATCTCACATTGTGAGGGGAAGGATAAACATGGATGCCATTATAATAAGATAATATCATGATTTTGTCATATGTATGGTTCTGTTCATTTAAGTGTTATTTAACCTGAAATCATTGAAAATTTCGCTGAAAAGATGAGGTGATGAGACCTAAAAAAGTAATCAATGAAGATGGAAATTAATAGATCCAGCCTCAGTAGTTGCTAGCCTAATTTAAATTGGGTGCAGCTGGATATCATCTAGTTTATCCATCACTTTCCAGCAAAAGGGGAAAAAATCCCATAGAATTATTTAAAATCTTTTTCGTTTTGTAGAATTAAAAATAAATTTCCTTCTTATTTTTGCTGCATTTTTTCTTGTGTTGCTTGCTTATCTGCTATGGCCAAATGAAGTTTGTTTGATTGTTGTTTTCTGTTATTTGAATAGGTGTTGGAGGGCTTGCGTAGCTTATTTTTGTAGATGTGCTATTATTTTTTCTGAGAGCCGATGGATCGACCTCCCCATGATTATGCAGCTGCTATGGCATTTGCCCAACAACAGCACCAAGCGGCTAATATGCAACAGCAGCAACAGTTTGGTTTTCACCCACAGCATCAACAATTTCCTCCATCAGGTCATGGCCCTCCATTTTTACCTCCACAATCTTCTCTTCAACAGTTCCCTTACCCTCGCCCATCACAGATTCATCCTCATGCTCCACCTCCTCCTCACCTGCTTCACCTACAGCAACAGCAGCAGCATCCTCCCCCAGCTTTTCCGCCACACATGCCTCCTCACCTTGCTCCATCACCCTTTCAGGGCCCTTATGATTCTCCACCACCTCCTGCTCCTCCACCTTCTGATCCCGAACTTGTAAAGCGCATCGATAAAGTGATTGAGTATGCTGTCAAGAATGGTCCCGAGTTTGAAGCCATGATCCGTGAAAAACAGCAAGACAATCCAGGTTATAGCTTCCTATTTGGTGGTGAAGGCCATTATTACTACCGCTACAAGCATTGGATGGCTACACGACCAGCAGGAGGCCCTTTCAATTCTCCTTTCCCATCCTCTTCTATGCAAATGGTGCACCCTCCAAATCCTATGTTGAGTCCTTCTCCATTAACTGCTCCACAGTATAATGCTTCCCCTGCTGGTGGGGCTTCAGCACCAGTGTTGGGCCCGCCTCATTTACATCAACCTCCTTTCCCACCCTTCTATGATCAGCAGCACCCTCAGTCTTTTGGCCGTCCTGATTATGATAATTCATATAGGTCTTTCAAAAGTCATTCTAGACCTCTTCCTCCTGATGTTGACATGGAGTTAAATACTGTTCTCAACAGTCTTACTGGTACAAAAGAGTCAATTAAAGGGGCCAAGAATTGGTTCATGCAGAGGTCTCCATTTATACCTGCTTTGGCTGAGGCTCTTAGAGATAGAGTGTTTTCTCTGGATGATTCTGAAAGGCAACTGCATATTATTTACCTTGCCAATGACATTTTATTTGACAGGTACAATTTCAAAATGTGTTGGTCCTTAACAAACAGGATGAATAATAGTTTGATGTTGCATTCAAAGATACCTAGCATGAGGGAATATTGAAATCTGATTGTTAATGTTTCCAATTGTGTTTCCTGTGATACACAGCTTGCAGCGGCGAATTAATCCTCGTGAGCTTGACACTGAGGCACTTGCATTTAAACCTGTTTTGGCTTCTATGCTGGCAAGGATTTACCATAATCCTCAAAATAAGGAAGAAAATCAGTCACGACTACAGAAAATTGTGCAGTTTTGGGGATCCAAGGAAGTTTTTGACCAAGACACAATTCGTGCATATGAAAACGAGATGATTGGTGGGCTCCCTGCAAATTCTTTTGGAGGTCCTCAACGTGACTTGTCAACTCTTGCTGCAGATCCCTCTGCTGCTACAGGTATCCATGCCTGATCATCTTAAGTAGAATTTGCAAGATTTTAATGGGTCTCTGCGGGCACTTCCCCAATTGTTAATTGTTGCTTATTGATTTTAACACATTGCATGTTCATTGTTTTGAGAATAAAATAAAATTTCTTGATCGCACAGGAGGAGCAGACCAAAATGTATTACAGTGGAAGCCTGAGGGCCATAGTCCGATCCCAAATTTACCAGATCAAGATAAACAAGTTCCTCATATTCCCTCCATGGCCCCCCAGCAGTTTCACTCTACTTCAGTTCCTCATGCATTTCCCGGGACTTTGCCTGTGCCATCTTCAGTTCCACCGTCAAATCTACCACCAACAACACATCTGATGCCAGCATTGACACCAAGTGCGGGTGAAAAGTTGCCTCCGTATCCCTTGTTTCCACCTGGTCTTATTCCCGGGATGGTTAGAAAAATGCAGATAGGCAGTGGGGTGCCTTACTCCCCCTTGAGCCCTTTGGATATCCCGACTGTTATACCGCCCTCTACTGTTTCTCAATCCGAAATTCTTGAAAGAGTATCAAAATTCTTTAGGGAGATTGGTGAGGTTAACCCATCAGAAGGACCCATGAAACAAGCTGATTCACCCGATGAATATGACGATTATGAGAGAGAGCGAGAGCCTCCCATCCGAAAAGGCGGGGCTTGCATCCCTCCCCCACCTAACCTCCAGGATTCTGATGGAAGTGCAGATCCTGAACCAAAAAGCTCAGGACGACTGGGACTCGGTGCCAGCGCCAATCCAAATGAGGCCAGTCAATATGACGATGTTTACAGTTCTTACCGGAAACAAAGAAGCACCAATTATCATTCAACAATGAGTGCAAGAGCTCCTTCAACTAGGTAGTGAGATGTGTTAACAACTTGAGTTTTGCAGTTATATAGTCCCTAAGAGAGACAAAAAACATGTGATTAAAACAAAATTTTCTTTTTATTTGTACTCTGGTGTTTAACTTTTGTCATATGAATATTTAGTTTGAACTTGTGCATCTTCTAAATTCTAATCCTGTGATTCTGAACCCATAATTTCATGAAAATCTTGTGAGAAAACTATGCAACTTGAATAGGATCTGATGCTCTCGTTTCAGTACATGTATCATGTATGTACTTTGAATTTGAAATTTTGGGGTGACGGGGGAGACCCACAATCACTACCTGAGGGTATGTACGGTAAATTATTGTGTAGACCACGGTCTAAAACGACGTCGTTTTAATGTTCAAAAAAAAATCTTGCTCCGTCCGCTTGTTAGAATAATGAATATTCTGGGATAAGATAATGTATTTTATGAGTTAGAATAATGTATGACGTGCTTGTATTTTTTTCCAACACATTATTATTCCTTTACCATTTGTCAAACACTGTTACTTGCACCAGAAATTCAGAAATTGTACATTGACCTTTTTAGTAAATTTTCCAACAATCCCCTCTATTTAGAATAAAGTTTTCATTTTTATGGTTTTCTTGGCATGCAATTTCAGAGCTTTGCAGTTGCATGTATGTAATCTTGCAAGGGCTGTAAGAATCACAAAGACAAAGTACAGAGAGGGAAAGAAAAAGCATATTTCATAGAAAACATAATAATCAGAGTTACAGCTTGAGATATTATACAAGGATGGTAAAAAGCAGTTCATCATTCCTTCCTAGGATTTGTCAAATGTTTCAGAACAAAACTGGGTTCATGTTAATCCAGAAGAACTAGATCAGACCGACTGCTCATTCTCGTCGTTTTGCTCTTCTTGCGCTCTGCCCTTCCCCTTTGAAATCCGCCAGCCTTGACTTTGGAGTATCGCCATGAGTAACGCTAGATCTTTCAGAAACGGTACCACAAGGATCGTGCAGTTGGTCCCAATGTCGCGATGGACTACACACATCTCTGCCTGAACTTTTCCTAGCAGTAGTTAACGCGTGATCTCTGAGGCCTGCAGCAGCTTTTAGTCTTTGTATTTCTTCCAGATAGCCATATTTCTGGAGTCTCTCGGGGTCTAATCGTTCTTCAGAGTTCTGAATATATCCCGCTCGATTTCCCCAGTCAATTACTACATCCGAAGTGCTCCTCAGAAGAGAAGTGCTTCTTCTGGGTACCTGCCCAGAAACAAAGCTTCTCGTCTTCATTTCAATGCCAGATGGATAAGCCCACTTGTCGTTCTTGTTAGTGTTGTCCACGTTCAACTCAATTGAATGAAGCTCGCTTTCTGCTGAGCTTTCGCCACACTCCACTACATTATCCACTTCCCCGGAATCATCTTTATCCTCGTTCTCATAGGAATTAAACCGAGTTTCACTCAAGTATGCAGCAATTTGTTTGCCAATGTCATAATTTCCTTTAACCTTAGGGCCTCCTCTATCTTCACCATTTTCCCTTGCTAATTCACTACACGTTTGTTCTATTATCTCCCTCGCTCTCTTCTCATTCTCAAGCATTTTCACTGCCTTGGTGAACGAAGCTTTTGTTTCTGACAGCTCCCTCCCGAGTTTCTTGTTTAAGCTCTCAGATCTTCGCCTTAGCTTCCTCTCTACCTCAAGCTCATTGGCAATGGACTCAATCGCGCCCTCAATTGCCTTCTTCTCTTTACCCTTCCAGGCCGCTTTCTCTTCAGCGAAACACTTCATAAGGTAACTAATCTCGTTCTGATCTGAACGAATAAGCTGGTTTACCTGCAAACGTGCCCTTTCGAGTTCAGCATGTAAAGCCGAGACAAGAGACATGCTCGAAGAAGGCGGGCCAGCATGCGCCCAAATCCGGTTGATTATTTTCAGAAGCTCCTTCGACGTTGTGAGAGCAGTGCTAACATCTTTCAGACGGTTTTTAACACTTGCTTGGGATCTGGTCTCCATCTGCAAATTAAAGTAAACGTATGATCATATACGCTTTTAGGCCTTGAAATGTAAGTAAATTTGTACTTAAAAGACACAAAGAAGTTAGCTGCGACCTCCACTAGGCTCGAGCTATCTAAAACTCCAACATTGTGGTTTTCTGTCCTCGTCCTGTGGGAAGAAGAAGTCGATATCCTCTTCTGGTAACTCCCCGTTCCAGATCGATCCATCCTCTGTTCAAAGAAAGATTTTTAACGTTCTTGATCATCGAAGAACAATAACCCAAAGTGTCAAAGGGCAACATAAGTACCTAACTCAACCTAAAAGTCCAGTTAAGATTGTCATATGTGTCATTTTAACTTTGCTGTCTTTAAGATGCAAACCTAAATATGTAAAACATCACCTGCTGTTTATACTACTCCATAGCCAAATCTGAATTAGATTACAAACAAAAATGATCGAAATAACGAGGATGAACTCAAGCTTACATATAATCAATAAAAATTCAGTTTTGTCAAATCTCAAACAAGTGAATATGTGCCATTTTTGCTGTCTTTAAGATACAAAACTAAACATGTAAACATCATCTTCTGTTTATTCTACTCCATAGCTGAATCTGAACTAGCTTACAGACAAAAAAAAAAAACATAAACATAAACATCATTTGCTTCTGTTGATTATACTACTCCATAGCTTAATCTGAATTAGCTTACAGAAAAAAATCATAAAAAATAATGAGGATGAAAGGAACTGCAAACCTCAGAGACTGGGCTGTGAGATGGATCGCACAAATGGGAAGAAGCAGGCCTCATTTTCTCCTTCTTCATCATCATCATCGTCTTCTTGTTCGACGGCAATTCATTCATCTCCCAGAGAGTCGCCGCCAGCTTCCGCGCCGAGATGGGGCGGGATGTCCCCGGGGACTCACCGGCGGCTCTCAGAAACGGCGTCGTTCTCCAGGTCGGCACGGGGGTGTTAGATCTGGACCTTCCCAGTCCGTGCCTGCCCTTCCCCACCACAATGGCCCGCTTGAATCTGTAGCTATGAACAATCGACGATGCAGAAGACGGCGACGAGCAGCCCCTTTTCCGGACTTTGGGTACCAATCCCTCAATCCCCACCCGATTCTGCCTTTGCATTTGCAAAAAAAGAACAGTCTTTCTTTTACTGAAGATCCCGGATCATGAAAAACTCTGGGAGTGGAGAAAAAAACAAATCTTTTTGCTGATTTCCCAGATATGGGATCAAGAAAATGTCTGGGTATTCAAAAACGCTGCCTTGAAATTGAAAAGGGAAAGCAGAAAAGAAGCGCAGTGCGGCGTCGATGAAAGTAAAGGAGGTTTGACTACACTAGTAGTAGAAGTATAAGGACTTTAATGGCGTATCCATGTGCAGTGCAGGGAAGAATACGGTGCATAAACTCATCGTTGCATGTGAGGAGGCTAAAAGAATGTGCTATCGAAATCATTGCTGGCAGGTGAAGGCTACTACGTTGGAGAAGGGAATGTTTTTTCCCATAATTTCTGCTCATTTTACTTCTCTCTCTCTCTCTCTCTCTCTCTCTCTCTCTCTCTCTCTCTCTCTCTCTCTCTCTCTCTGCGTCGTCGTCTTGCCTGTGCCAAATTGTGTTGTGATCAACTCATCCATGAACTTTGATTCAACATTTCATCAGTTTAGAGTTCCATGTTCATTACATTTAAATCCAATCAACATGATGAAATTATTTATTTAGTTGAAGCTGAATATTTTAGATTAAGATATCAAGTATAGAGACATTCAATAATATATTGCTAGAAAATGATATTTTTTATTGTAACGTGTTCAGAACTTGTATTCTTCTTAGTTATAATTGACTAATAACTTCATCTAAAAGTAAAGAATAACGAAGGAATGTTAATCTACTAAAAAATATCGATCAATGTCAATCTATAAAAAATCATCGATCTATGTCAATTTATCAAAAAGTATCAATCATGTCAAAGCGAGTAAGACTATCATCATCCCTAAAACTGGAATGAGGATGGCAATCAACCAAGCCAATTTTATTTTGTTTTTTTTTTCTATATATCAAATTCGATTTATTTGACAACTATGTAGATATAGAGTAGGATCAACATTTGTAATTAAGAGATAAGTGTAATGATAGTTACGGAGTATTGCATAAGAAACAAGAAAGTCAATTGTTTTGTAATGTTCTCATTAAACATACGAGACCCACACGTCTCATTCTTAGGACTTAAGAATGATATTAATTAGGAGAAGGCTTATTTCGTGACTTAAAGATATCTTGGATTACACGATTTATGTTTAATATTGGGGGTATTGGTCGAGGAAGTTTAGAAATTTGTTCAATATCTTTAATTTAGCATGGAAAATAAATATCGTCAAATTGTGGTGAAATGTAATTATTCGAGTTGGACATATCATCAAACAATTTACAAAAAATAAAGTCAAGTAAGCATTAGGTTTGTTTGTCTGAACCATTCACACATTTTTAGATAACAAATAAATCACATTTTCTTGCGAATGTCTTGGTTGATCAAAAATGTCTTGGTTGATCAAAATCAAAGGGTTATCGGTGAGAGTAATTAATTTCCTTTATTTTTTTAAAGTGATAAAATGAAAATTTTGTCGTCATAAAAATTTCATAAAATTGAATATTCTTACTACTTACTCTATTACAATGTTTATTTGTTTATATAGATATTTTCTTGACCTCTCATATAAGAGATCCGCAAAAATAATATTGAGTTTCAAATTATTTCGTATCCTCTCATATATTAAAATAAAATGGCATAAATATAATATATTTTTTAATCAAAAATAGAAAAATTACATAAAACCCTAGATTCATATAATATATTCAGATTGTTTCAAAAAAATAAACTCCGTAATATATTCAGATTCGAATATACTCATAAAACATAATCTTAATTATGGATTAACAACATTAAACTAGATTATATAAGTATTGAGTTATTAATGAAAACTCAACTCGATTTGAAATGTTTCTTCTCCCATTCCTTTTTCTCTTGATATTCCGCCAAAATTCACACGGACAATTCACAAGAAACCTCCACGGCTCCACCCTTTTTCCAGCATTCCAGCAAAAAACGAAGTCGTTACTGTTCCTCCTCCAATCGAAGGGAGTGCAGCACGGAAGATTTTAATCTTCCATTTCTGCCCCCTCTTACCCTGTTCTTCGCCGACAAGCCTATGTTAACTCCCGACAGTTCTGCAGCAAAGCCCATCCTAAGTAGACAACTCCTGCTGTCAAACAATTTCTTACAACTTTCAACCCGTTTGGCTTTCTGGGTTCCATCATTTTCACTCCGTTTTTGCTGGGTAAGATCAATCTTTGAGTTCTCTTGTCTGTATTTGTGATGGCTTGAGGTGAAAGTCCCAGTCTTGCCTAAAAAAGTTCCAATTTTTTTTCTTTTTAACTTCATTTTGGTATTGGAAATGGAAAAAGAGGATTGTTTTGTATGTTTCTTTTGTTGATGCAATGTTTTTCTGTTTTTTGGGTGCCGAGGTAAACTCTGTCTTATGATCCTAGTCGTTACTCGCCTTATTAACAAAACACCATATAATCAGTTTAGATTGTATGTAACTCGCACAGAGTCAAACTTAAAACTGTTTGGGGTTAGATAATTAGGTTGCCCATGAAATGTGTTTCTTGGAGTGAGGAGAAAGTTACAACCTTTGTTGTCGTTTTCCCAATTCCCATGTCTGAACCTGAAGGAATAAAACTGAGCTCATGTCTGATTGGTTATGTTTGGCTTTCTTGTCAATGGAGGCTGTTTCTGAAGAGATTGTTTAATCTGATTATAGTATTATATTCTACTTTTTACATGTTTGGTAAGTTGCAACTTTTATCCATGGGTTATTCACTGTCTACAATCATAAACTGCAAGCCATGATCATAACAAGACTTGTTTCTGTTGGAATTTGATTTGTTTTTGCTTCCTAAGCTGTGGGCATTTGATCAATTTGATTGTTCAGATGGGCATTTTTGAAGCACCTTGCATTCAGAATATGGATATATGGCGATTTCTTTACATTTAGCAGCCTCTATGGCTTAGATTTCTGTAAATTTTACAGTTTTCAATATGAACTAATTACTAATGATCTCCATTTGTACTTGAATCATAGGGCAAGACCAAATGCTGCCCTGTCTCAGGCCGTCATCATCTACAACAACGACAAATACCCAATTTTCACATTCAACCGTGGATGGTAGATTTCGTGAACTCATATCCCCCATCGTGTTTTTTTTTACAGTTTTGCTAATCCCGAATTGTTTTTACTCATATTTCATTAATAAACTGCAGGGATTTCTGTGGCAAACACTCCGAGGTCGAGTAACCAAACGACTCCTTCTGTTGACCTCACTCGAGAATATAACCTTGCGATTCAAACCTCTTCCTGTTGTGAGATATGGTCCAAGATTCACTATGAAGTCCCGTCTGATGAGGATGAAGTTGTTGTTAATTTCCACGATGAGCCACTGCAAGTAGAAGAGGTCCTTAAACCGAGTCGTGAATGTGTTGAAGAAGCGTTTTCTCGTGTTAGACCTGACAACCTTAGCCAACTTGTCATTAACTACTTTAACCATAGTGAGCATACTACTCAATCCTGTCTGAGCCTTATCCAATGCATCCACCGGGCTCGCCAAATATATTCCCCCCTTCATAAACTTATCGATATATTTCCCATAGATTTTGAGACTGCTACCAATTCCTTATCCCGGGCCCAATGTGATTGGGCGTTTGATGCCTTTGTTCAGTTTGACAAACTAGACAATCCCTTCCCAGGCCCCGACTCCTACAGCTTCGTTGATATGCATGGCTGCTTCTCTCAGCTCAAGCAACAACTCGACATTCGTCTTCAAAAGTCACGATCAAAGGTACAACTTCTCCGTCGGGCCACCAAAGGGGCTGCCATATGTTTAACTATAACTACTTTCGGAGTGGTCATATCTGCAATTGTCATAGCTACTCACGCTCTCGTTGCCTTGGTTGCCATTCCCCTATGCCCTCTTCTTTTTACTTCCAAGATGACCAAGGAAGAACTGGTCCATCTAGTGCAACTCGATGATGCCACGAGGGGGATTTTTGTCCTTCACAGTCACCTAGAAACCATTGATTGCCTGGTTTCTCGTTTACATAATTCTGTGGCGGACTACAAGCGCCTTGTCCGGTTTGGCCTTGAAAGAGGCAAGGACAATTATCCCATCCAGGAGGTCATATTGCAACTGCAAAAAAAACATAACAATTTCCTCGATCAGTTGACAGGTCTCGAGGAACATCTGTGCCTTTGTTTCGCTGCTATTAACCGTGCTAGATCTCTCCTCCTTTCTTATTTCCATCTTCACATTTAACAGTTAGTCGCTCTCCACCTGTTTATTTCGATGAGTTTCTGTCATTCTGATGTTGAAAGATGACACTGAACAGTTATTCTTTCTCAGTGATGGGATCATATATGTGACATTTCGAAACAATAGATTCTGAGAATATATGTGGTGTAATGCAACGTTGTTTATTCATGATTTTGTATGTTCACATCCTAACTTGTAAAACATTAAGGATTGGGCGAGTCTCCAAGGAAACCTATTGTTCCTCAACTTGGCCATCCAAGTAAGTAATTGCAACTGCAGCATGAAGAGCTGCTCCTATGGGTAGAGCGCGTTCATCAATGGTGAAGTGAGGATTGTGTATCTCTTTCAAAGGCTTCATCGTCTCATTGCTTACACCAATTACAAAGAACGCAGCTTTCATTCTTTGTGCATAGAAGCTGAAGTCCTCTGCACCCATGGTGATCTGGGCAAGCTCCACGTTTTCCTCACCGAGCAGGATTTCTCCAACTTTCTTTGCGTGTTCATACATTGCTTGATCGTTAACTGTTGGTGGGTAGGGCGTCCGGTCACCCTCCAAGAAAGTAACCGTTGCAGTGCATTGGTGAACTGCTGCTTGAGTCTCGATGATCTGTATGTATTGTAAGCATCTCCAGTGTCGTCATTCATACAAACCAACTGGTTGAGATCTTTATGGTCACAAAGATTTTAGAAAATGCAAAAAACTCAAAAAGTTACCTCTTTGATTCTTTGCTGAAGATATGATGAACCTTCAGAAGTCAAGTAGCGAAAAGTTCCACCAAATTTTACTTGTTCTGGTATCACATTCCCGGCTTTACCAGCCTCAACGTATCCAATTGAAACGACCTGTGCAGCATAAAAGAATGCTTTTTGGTTACTGTTCAGCAAGTCTAACACAAAATTTCACCAAAACTGGAGGATAATGTTAGTGGTGTTGAGCATATAGCCATTAACGTGCAATCCAACTATAAGCTTAAGCTTTTAGTTGAGATGGAGCACATGCTTCAATTTGGTATCAGAGCCAGACCAAAGGCACCACCCATAAGCCTACCTAAATCTCTAAGACTGCCTAATCTATAATCTATGGAGATTCCATAACAATTTGCATATGGAAATGATAACATACCCTGGCCTCAAGGGGATCAGTTTCTCGAGAAACAAGCTGTTGGAGAGCAAGAATGGCCATAGATAGAGCAAGAACAGGGTCTCTGGTTTTATGTGGGGATGCAGCGTGCCCGCCCTTGCCTTGTATTACAGCCCAAAACCTGTTTGATCCAGCAAGCAATGGCCCGGGTCTTGAAGCAATTGTACCAACAGGCATACCTGGCCAAACATGCATCCCAAACATGGATTGAAAATCATCAAGGGCTCCTTCCTTTATCATATGGTACGCGCCACCCATGCCTTCTTCAGCAGGTTGGAAGACAAGCTTAACAGTGCCCTTCAATTTAGAGAGCAGGATTATACAAATGCAGCTAAAATTACTGAATTATGGTAGTTAAAAAAACTTGAACTTTTAACACTCTGCAATTAGATTCTTGCCCTCTCAATTACCATACCTTCAAGCTCTCCTTCCTGTTCTGAAGCAATCTAGCTGCTCCAAGCAGCATGGTGACATGAGCATCATGACCACAAGCATGCATTTTGCCATTAATCTTGCTCTTGTGCTCCCACTCAACCAATTCCTTTGAAAAATATTGCCTTTGTCAAAAACATAGGAAGATGAAAACTCTTTCCCCTACCACAAACAATTTTAGAACTACAATTTCAAGAGGCAATCCCAATCAAATTGGTCAGACCGTTAACTTTGTAACCACAGTGTTACAAGTTCGACTTCCAATACGGAACTACGGACAGGGGCGGCCTATTGACGTTCTTAGTTTGGGTTGATTAGCTATGGATAACCTAGGCTCGTTTAACTCCTTGTACTCCTTTGCCAGCTAGGGTTAACCGTACACACTTCGAATAGTGGCTATGAGTTTCCCTTAATCACCAAAAAAAAGAACTACAATTTCAATCAATCTATCATTAAACTCATGTAATTAGGTAAATCAAAGTCAACCAAGAACTATCTCATCTGCATAAACATTCAAACCCACTGTCTAAAACATCATTTTTGAGAGAAAATTACAAGAATTTCAATTAATCAGAGGTGACAAAAAAAAATACCTGAATTGGGAGAGCATCCATATCAGCTCTCAAGCCAAACCAAGGTTGATTCCCGGAGCCAATAGCAGCCACCACCCCAGTCTTGGCAACCGGCCAGGAATACCCGATTCCCAGCGAGTCAAGCTCGTTTCTGATGAGTTGACTCGTGCGGTGCTCTTCGAACCCCAGCTCCGGGTACTCATGGAGAGTCCTCCGGACCCGTTTCAGCCAATCGAAGAACTCGGGATCCCTGGCCGAGTCCAAGAGATCCCGAGTCAGCTGCGACACAGTCTCCGATCCCAAACGAGTTTGCAGAGAGCAGCAATGCCACGGACTGGATATCGCCACGATTAGGGCGAACCATACGCACCTGAAACTGGCGGAAGCTTTCATGGCAGCTCGCAACGAGATTGTTTCTTGATTTTTGCTTTAATTTGTTGTTGAGTATGGGCCATATACCGGCCTGCCATGATTTCTTTGTCATCTTCAGCAATTGTTTGTTTCCGACAATTAAAATTTAAAATTCCAATCCCTAATCAAATTCTTTTTTTTTTTTTGGGGCAAACTCCCTAAATCAAATTCATAAGATCTCAATCCAATCATAACAAGCCTAAAGTTAATGTTTTTATTGTGGTTTTGTATAAGAGATTTGTAATTTAATTTCTCATCATATTATATTTTAACGAGTATTATCTCATGAGTATTAGTCATCATATTATATTTTAACTAATACTTTTATAATAAGTAGTCAAGTAGGATTAATTTAGTGAAAATATAATAGTCCTTATTACATTTTTATTAATAAATTTACCTATCTTATCCAAGCTTTTATGATTTTTTATATGAAAAAATTATAATATTTTGTGTTTATAATATTCGATATTCTTATTCATGATATTGTAAAATTTGGTAATACTTGTGATGTGTTAGATGGTGATGGTTTGGTGCAAAATTATAAGATAAATTTGTTAGGCAATGTATAATAGTCATGTATGACATACTCGATCAAAATATTATTTGTATTTCAAAAGATATATCGTGTAGCAAGGTGTCGAAAATGTTTGGCGAATCTATAAATTTGGGATATGGTGGCTAGATTCAAGAAGAGAGAATGATGAGCAGAGGAAAGGGAAAAAAAAAAAAACAAAAACAAAAACAAAATAAGGGGGTAAATGCGCCCAACATGGTGCGTGCAATGCATGCGCCATGTCTGGGCGCGACAACGCACTGACTGCGTTTGTTTTTTTCAAAAGGCTGACCCCACACACACACAAAAAAACCTTTGCAGAAGAAAAAACTACTTAACACCCCCACCCCAACCTTTTGTCAAAAAATCAACCCCAAATTTTTATCTCTAAAAAAATCAAACAAAAATCAACATTTGAAGATGCTCTTACAAAACTAAAAATATGTGGTTGATTCTATCTAAATATTTCTTACCATCTATACAAAATTTTGAAGGGGTGTTTGGTTCAAATTATATAAAATAATCAAGGATATATTTTTTGTAATATAAGATTTTTATTTTTAGTTTAAGTTATGCAATTTTTCTTGGGAATGTAACATAACCTTTACATAAGGTTTTTAGCTATTGCAACTTGCAAGGAAACGTGAGATACCCTCTCCTTTTATAGGTATTCTCACATTTCCTTGGCTTATTGCTAATTTTGTCAATTTAATCCATTACTTTAGTTAATTATTGTTCAAACTCTTAGTTTATTATTTATTTATGTTAGTTTTAAATTTATTAAAATATATACAAATATGTTAACAATATTCAAATAAAAATAGTCATCATACCATAAAAAATAACTCTTCAATCAAGTAGATTTATTAGCTTATTTTAATTTACTGATATCTACCCACTATTGGTTACATAATTATATAAAACGTAGCTATCACTTATGGTTAGCATTTGTGTTGTGTTATTGACAATTTCCTTAGGCAATGCATTAATTCGTCACAGCAATATAGGTAATAGGTAGGTGCGTGATTATATAACATGTACTCCGTACTAGATAGTAATTTCACCCTTTAAATGTTGAAAAAAGATACATACATATATATTATAGGAAGTTGCTCAAATGCAGCCGCATCCTTCCGTGCAGTTGTGCGACCATTTTCAGAGTACACTAACAGTGTTAAACAAATAAAAAAATCATGAGTATACAGTAAGAGTTAATTCCAGCAATGGTCCTCCGACTATATTGATTTTCCAAAATTAGTCATTGACTTTTAATTTGGACACTTTATGTCCCTTGACTTTCAATTTCTTTCCAATTGAGGTCCTTTCGTCAGAATACGGTTAATTGAATTTTAAATGAAGGGATAAACTCATCATTTCACCTGCCTATGTATTATTCTTAGTATTTCTCCATTGTATACGCGATATATATGAAGATAATCTTAGTCGAAACCCTAAAATGTTCCTCGTCGTTCTCCATTTACTGACTACTCGTGTGTGTGTTCCTCTATTATTGATATGTTTACAAGGTATAACAGCGAAATACGAAGAATAATACGTAGGCAGGTGAAAGGACGAGTTTACCCCTTCATTTAAAGTCTAATGAACCGTATTCTAACGAAAGGACCTCAATTGGAAAGAAATTGAAAGTCAAGGGACCTAAAGTGTCCAAATTAAAAGTCGGAGACTAATTTTGGAAAATCACAATAGTCGTAGGACTATTGCTGGAATTAACGCATTCGGTAACTATAAAAGATACTTTTAAGGGGGTGTTTGGTTCAGGTTATATAACATAACCAAGGGAATGTGACATTCCAAAGCTCACATTCCGGTGTTTGGTTCATATTATCTTAGGGAATCTAACATTCCCAAGGAATGTCACATTCCCTCCACATAGGATTTTTGAAGGGAATGTGATTCCCTTCAAAATCTTAGGTAATGTAAGATAACCTTTGTTATGTTAGTTTATTATTATTATTATTATTATATATATATATATATATATATATATATATATATATATATATATATATATAATTATTTTTGTAATTATATATTTCTTTATTTTTATTATGTTATGTTAGCATATAAAATAATTTTGTTTCTCAAGTTCAAGATTTTAGTTAATATTTTAAAATCATGTAATTATATATGATACCGTTATCTTATTTATTTATTTTAATTTTTAAATTTATTAAAATATATGAAAATATGTTAAGGATATTATAGTGTGTATAAAAGATAACCCTAAATCAAACATGATTATATTACATACTCCAATTTTAATCAAACACAGAAATCTAACATTCTCACTTCCCAATAATCTAAGATTCCCAGCAATCTAACATTTTCTAAGGTAATCTGACATTCCGTGAACCAAACGACCCCTAAATATAATGTATACAAGTATTACTCTACTGTTGCTTTCCATCTTTAATGGGAGGATTGGAAGGACACAAAAAGTCAAAAATAAAGTACAGTACTACTATGCTAGCGTACTACGTACTCTACTGTGTTCCTTTCATACTTTATTATTATTAGGGAGAAGTGTGAAATAGGCCCATGTACTATTGTCAAATGTTCAATTCCCATCATGAACTAAATTAAAGGCTAATTAACCACATTTACCTACTAAATTTGTTCAATTAACTTTTTTTTTGCAGGTTACCAATTCAATTATTAAAAAAATAATTTCAAAATAATTTAAAAATTATTAAAAAAAATTACAACCACCAACTGTCCGGCGAGGACAGCCGGTGGCTGTATTCTTTTATTTTTATTATTTTATTTATTTCAATAATTAAATAGGTAACCTGTTATTAACCTGTAAAAAAAGTCAATTGAACAAATTTAACTCGTAGATTGACCTATTTGGCACTTAATTTAGTTTGTGGTGGAAATTGAGCACTTCGCAGTAGTAGATGAGTCTATTTGACACTTGTGCCTTATTATTATTATTATTATTATTATTATTATTATTATTATTATTATTATTATTATTGAAATAAAACTAAGGCATTCTCAATAATGAAAATTTTTATATGATTTTTGAGGAGTTTCTGTATGTGTGATTACGAAAAGAAAAAATGAAAGGAAATAAAAATAGAGAAAATAAAACAAAATAAAGCTGAATTAGATAAAAAAAAAAAAAAAAAAAAAAAAAAAAAAAAAAAAAAAAAAAAAAAAAGACAAGGCAATTACGCGCCCAGCTGGCGCATCAGGGCCGGGCATGAATTGTTCTTCACGCAAATGGCGTGCAATTGTTCCTTTTCTAAGTTGGGACCCAGAAGCTGACAAAATCTCAAAATTAGCAGGAAGACTCCAAGGATTCTCTCGCTTCTCTTTCATCTATGTTAGCAATTTTTCTTAAAAATCGCGAACAATCTCCCCAATGGGAATGCTCTAAGCATTCATTCAATAAATCAAAAGTTAAAACATTACAAATGATAAGGGAGGGTGATTGAATCACTCTAATTAATTAGACGTAGAAATAGACTACCTAATTAACAAGTGTGTTACTTGATTTGCAGATTGTTTACTGAAAGATAAAAACACATGAGTGAATGAGCTCATAAGGTTTTTAATATCCATAAGAATCAAGTGAAATGAAGAATCTCTTTTGCTAGAATTGATGCATTGAACAACTTGAAGGGAATTAGTTTCAGTATGAACTTTGTCAAAACCATGTGTTTTTAGCCAACTAATTAAGTGCCTCTCTCATTGGTAAGTTAGTTTTTGTTAAAAATCTTAGGTTATTCTTATCTCTTAATTTTTAAAATAGGTTTCACTTTCATATCATCAAATTTACAAATTCTTCACTATTTACTTTACATTCCTGTAAATCTCTTTCATTTTAAAAAATGGGTCTCACTTTTATATTATATTATAAATATAATAATAAAATAATATTTAAAATAATAATAAAATGAAAATAAAAAACAAAAGGTGAAATGGTTGGCAGCTTAGCTGCCGCCCAGCCAATATACATACAAAAAGTTGTCTTTTTATCAATTTTCTCTTCATTTGCTAATTTTATCAATTATCGCTCCTCTTGCAATATACTTGACTTTATATATATATATATATATATATATATATATATATATATATATATATATATATATATATATATATATATAAATTTCTCTCTTCCAATGTCATCTTGCCAATCCTAAATTTGTAAGGATAATGACAACTTTAGCAACTACATAATTTTTTGGTGAATTAAGACCCGTTCACAACGTACGGGAAAAGAAAAAAACTACCAAACCCAAATTGTACTTGCCCCAAAGGCATAGGCCGAGAGAAGGGGATGGAGGCTAGTGGGCGGCACCTCAAGCCATGAAGTGCCCCAATCAACCGTCTACCCCAGATTTGTTAGATTGTCAACGCATCTATTGTCCTCTCGTAGCATATGTCGGAAGACGACACTTTAAATGTGAATAGCAACTATTTAATCCACATATCACTTGTTATTATCTTAAAATACTAATACAATATTGCTAAATGCTAATTGACTCACAATCTTTTGCCTTGACTCTTTGAGTATATATAGCCATCTATATATGCTTTTGAATTGAAGATATATATCATAATTTACTATGAATTATTGTTCTTCTATAGTATCGATATTATACAACTCAAGAACAATATATACAATTGTATATGTAACAATCAATACTTAAAATTTTCTTAAAAGGTCAATTACATTATATTACAACACACCATACAATTTTCATAGACACACTAAATTATTTATTCGCGTACAAAAGGTTGTTCCCACACTGTCGCTAATTGGTGAGACTCCTTGGTCATATTTTTCAAACTTCACCTCAATGACCAGTTGAGTTGCCCATGCTGACAACTTCACCTAAAACATACATATTTGGATAGTTGTTGCTAGCTTCCCCGTAAATCTAAGCAATTGAAGCAACATATTTTTAGCAATGGAAGAATATAATAATAATAATAATAATAATAATAATAATAATAATAATAGTAAGCTTAATTAATTAATATAGCACTTGCTTCATTGTAGCGATGAATGCCTGATTGGTTGTACTGTATCCTCCATCCACCACAAGGTTAAGTCCACTCACAACCCTGGATTCATCGCTAGCCAAGAACAGCGCCGCCTCCGCCACGTCCTCAGCCGCCGGCACCACCCCTTTGAGGTTGGCGGAGGCGGAGATGATCTCCTCCACCACGCTCTTCTCCACCCCCATCGCCTCCACGGCAAACGGAGTGGCGACGGCGCAGGGAGATATGCAGTTCACCCGTATCCCATACTGCCCCAGCTCCACGCACAGGTTCTTCGTCAACCCCACGATCGCGTGCTTGGAGGCCGTGTAGGGATGCGGCATCACCCCCGCCGTGACGGAGGCGGCGCTCGACGTGAAAAGGATCACGCCGCCTCTCCCCGCCGGCGGAACCATCGCCTTCGCGGCGTGCTTGGCTCCCAGGAAGCCGCCGAACACGTTGACGTCGAAAACGCGCCGGAAGTCTTGGCCGTCGGCGTCCAGGATGGAGCAGTCCTTGTTGTTCCCCAGTACGCCGGCGTTGTTGAACATGATGTCCAGTTTCCCGAACTTGGAAACCGTCGCCTCCACCAGATTCTTGACGTCGGCGTCGCTCGTCACGTCGCAGTGCACGTACACGGCGTTCTTCCCCAAGCTCTGGCACAGCGCCTGCCCTAACTCATCTTGCACGTCGCCCACCACCACCTGCGCCCCGTTCCCAACGAAAAGCCTGGCCGTGCTTTCCCCGAAACCGCTTGCACCGCCGGTGATAATGGCGACTTTGCCTTCTAGCCTGCATGCATTCACACAAGCAAAGAACGAGGAAACAATGCAAGAAGTTTTTATTAGACTATTGCCTTAATTGATAACCACTTATTACAAGTTCTCCTTGGTTTGAGCCGATCAATTATGGACAAAAAGAAGTATTGCAGTACAGTGTACCTTTTGGCAGTGGAATGATCTTCTTGTTTGGAGCAGTGACCATTCAACATTTTGAATACTGTACTGTGATACCAAATTTTCGATTTGGTTGTATGTCTAACCCAATAATGAAGCTCACCTTCCCAAAACTATGCTTTTTAAAGATATCAACCTACAACACTGTTGCATTTCGTGTTGGGGAATTAAATGTGGGAGATGTTATACATGTATGTATAATTGTATACATACCAAAAAATTGTATAACATACCCGAAAGGATCGGATAATCCAGTGAGTGCAATATAATTTTGGTATCTAATAGTCATGACTCCATTACACAAGATCAGATCTTTTTTTGTGTTGTTTACCTATTATGTGTAATTTGCTGGTTATTAGACATATAAAAAGATGTTTGGGGCATAACTTATATAAATGAGTTTATTTGTCATGTGTAGCATACTTATTATTACAAAAAAAAAAAAAAAAAAAAAAAAAAAAAAAAAACTATATAAGCTAAGGTATAACTCAAATGAGTGAATTCTCTTCTTTCATTGTGGATGCAAATATAGAACTGATGGGGAATATTCCCCTAGCTAACCATGTACATATAATATCACATACCTGCTCGGTACTTGGTCAGCTTTTTGAGAGAAATTAGTCCCGATCATAACCGACCTTGGAGCTGACTGACCCGATCTAAGTCGGGGAACGAACACTGGCTTAACAGCCAATAGTCTTCCCCCATCGGAAGGTTTCACTCCCACCATTTTCGCTCGGAACAAGTTGTCCGACCTTCTCCCCTTAGTCTAACTCGTCTGCGGCAGAAACGATGGCATCAGGAATCTTAGCATACGGGGAGGAATCAGCAAGGTCCCTGATTTTCCCCTATACATGGATCACACGTGTCGTGCATGTCGGGCCTCCAGCATGTGTTCCCTTCGCCCCCTACCGCGTTACGGGGTGTTTGGTTGGGATGAAGGAATTAGGAAGGAAAGGAATTGCAATTCGGTGGGAAAAGAATAAGGTAGGAATAATGTAGGAATTCAAATTATATTGTTTAGTAGGAGGAATAGAATTATGGGAATGAGAAGGAAAAAAGTGATATAAAGATTAAAATGTCATTGTGTAATAAGAAGAATAACAATCATCAAGGGTATTTTTGTCATTTCATCCATTTTTACCTTTCCCAAAAGTATTGAATTGCAATTCATGAGGGTACCCCATGAATTGCAATTCAACAAAAGGAGGGAATTGCAATTCCCTCCAACCAAACACTGTAATTTGTCTTGCAATGGAATAAAGTATGAAAAGAATTACACCTAGCTACATCCAACCAAACACCTCCTAAATGTGTGAAGGGGGACTTTTGACATTTCCTACATAACCATTATCAGCTCGGGACCCTCTGACCCCTGTAGCCTTCCAAGCTCAGTAACTTAAACTAACAAGTAGACAATTAAAGGATCCATCCACGATCCGACTTGTTATCACTGATGGATACCCAGTATGGGAATCAGGTTGGACCATCTAAACCCCTCCATAATTCCCAAAAATAGTTACCCTACTAAAATACCCATAATAGCCATTATTATCCCCTCAAAACCCCTTACCACCAATTAAGTACCTATTTATTACCTACTATTACCCATAAAATTATCCAAAAATGCCTCAATTAACTATCAATAACTCTACCAAGACTATGTGGTTTAATGGTACCCGAATTGGACTTCCATTTGGAAGATTGTGAGTTTGAGCCTCAGTGGAGGCGTAATGTATCATTTATATCTCAATTTTGTATCATTTATATCTCAATTTTTTTTTCCTGTTCAAACATACTTTCTCAATCTATTGAAACACAAAGAGACATTGTAGTATCTGTTCAAACATACTTTCTCAAACTATTGAAACACAAAGAGCCCTTCCCTTTTCTAAAAACAAACCACCTCTTATCTCATTTTTTTTAATGCTACTGACTCTATTACATTGTAGTATATGTTCAAACATACTTTCTCAATCGATTGAAACACAAAGAGACATTGTAGTATCTGTTCAAACATACTTTCTCAATCTATTGAAACCCAAAGAGTCAACAACGCCTCCACTGAAGTTCAATCTCATGACCTCCCATATGGGAGAGATCACTACATGTCATCTAAGTACAAGGTGATTGGCACCTCCCATCTCAATTAATTACCCATTAATTACCCTATTAAAACCTATTAAAGGCCTATTTATTTTCCTATTCAGCACCCATGAACCTATTATTACCCATAATGCCCAATAAATTTCTTATTAATTGTTCACTTCCCTATCCAACGTCTACAATCTTCATCCTCATACACAATGTAACATGTACAAAATACACAACAAAATAGTGAAAGCTTTAGGCTTCACACCGCTCAAAAAGGTTCGTAGTTTTTTCTTTTGGTTTTTACGTTAAAATTATTGTGTCAAATTCTGTTTTTACTTATCTTTCTGCTCTATTTTTCGATGATTCACCAACTTTTCTAGTTGTGTTGGACCCCAGTAGGCTTCCCAAGAAGCTAGAAACTAACAACCACATCAATAAACATTTTTTGAAACATCTGTATACCGTTGAGACGTATCTGGCAAGTGGTATCTTCTATCAAAATTTTAGATCAGAGTAGGTTTAGGGTGAAGGTGGGTGTTCTTGGGACTAGGGTTTAGTCTTTTGTCTTGGATGTATATGTGGAAGAATTGTATATGTCCAAGTGCGTGTACCATGTGGACGCAGCCACTGTTGGCGACAAGGGTACATGAAATATTACATACTGACATGGAGAGGACATGTCTCTTGATTTTCAATCGCACATACATAAGAAGGTGAGGATGCAATTTAATTTGGACTACACTTTCTAGTTGCATATTGCATGTTGTATTTAATGATGAGTCATGTTATAATGTCCTGTCACAGGTATTTTTTCGGTAAGTTAAGTACTTAAACAATAATGTTTTATTAAACATGATTGTAGTCTAATATATATAATTCATTAGAGTAACATGCATGCATGGTGAAAAAGATGCATGATTTAAACGATTTTTTTATACTGCTCATCATATTTCTACGAGATTTTTTTTTTTTCTTTTAATTTTCTGCGGTGCTTTATTAGAAAAAGGCTGAAATAATGTATGGTGGGTGGATATCCCAGTACATAGCAGCAAGTTGCTGATAAGCCGTAGTAGCTAATGCATGAGCTAAATAATTGTCTGATCTAGAAATAAAATTAAAAGAATAGGACTGAAAATAGGTGACAATTTGCCTGCAACTGTCAATGGCATAGCCAATGTAAGAACGAAACGCAGTGGTTGGTGTAGTAAGATAGCGTTGTAGTGTCAAACAATCTGTATAAATCTCGATACTCTGTTCCCCTCGATCTTTTAACCATGATAAAACTTCCTTGCACGCCAAAGCCTCAGCCATAAGCGGTGATAAACAAGTCCGTAATGGTGCACTAAAGGCCGAGATGTAGCCTCCATCATCATCAAGCAAAACAGCCCCTACAGTGGCCTTGCCCGTCTCGTGTAAATATCCTGCATCGACACGGCATCTTCTTACCGATGGCATGGAGTGATCGGCGGCGTTGGCAGACTCTCGCTCGGCGGTGTGGCGGTCTCGGGCAGTAATACGGCGATCGTCCCCTCTCGGCATCAATGCAGCGCGTGCAATTGTGGAAATAGCAGCCGAGATGGGGCGGGATTGGGTCCATGCACCCTTGACGGCAGCAGCGGTTCTGAGTAGTGAACCCGGTCGTGGTAGATATGCCTCCCAAACTGCACCATTTCGAGCTCTCCAAATATTGTATAAAATCGACGCTGCATATAACATTCCATCAGAATCTAAAACATTTAGAAGCTCCCCAAACCAAACATGAAAAATATCTGTGACAATATTGGGGATTGTAAGGTTGGATTGTTCCCAAATGTTTCTTGCATAATCACACAAGACTAATGCATTCTACGAGATTAATTCTAGTTGTGTTTACAAAATTTGATTTCTATTACGGAATGCAGTTTTTATTAAAATCCATAGTTGCAGTAGGCGCTAGTCAGACGGTAGAGTAGCGTCTTGCGCCTAGACAGCCTAAGCGGGCGCCTATACAGCTTACTAAAAAAGAAAAAACAGTACACGTGTATGGGTATATCACTACTGGAAATTATTGAATTTCCAACCACCTGAATGTGATCTTAAATCAAGTTGAAAGCAAAAAGTGGTCGGAAATAGCAACAAGGGTTTTTCCGGATACCAAAAGTGATCGGAACAAGGCTTTCGACTTGATATAAGATCACTTTCAGGTGGTCGGAAATTTCAGAATTTACAGTAGTATATATATATATATGTGTGTGTGTGTGGAAAAAATTAGCAAGGCCGAATCGACCGAGTTAACTCGACTGAAATGAATGAGTTAACTCGGCCGAGTTAGTCACTAGGCAGCTGAGTCGGCCGGGTTAGGCGCCTAGGGCCACGGTCTAGGGGCACCTAGACCAATTTTTGCAACAGTGTTAAAAGACACAATACTTTCATAAGTCAGGATAATATATACTTTGATTTAAATGAAAGTCTACCGATGTTACCCCAAAATGCATTCTTATTTAATCTTGCCTTGTGACCTTAAGTAACAAATTAAATACTACATAGAAGTAAATCGGTCTAGTTGTTGGTTCAAACCAAAAATGCTAACAAATTAAACAATCTAATGCATCAAAGTTGAAGTCAATTGTTCCTTGGTTTGGATTATCCACTCAATTCAGACAATACTTGTTTGATCTTGTTGGTGTAGTTCTGATTGGTCGTACTATATCCTCCATCAATGGGAAGGTTCACTCCACTAACAAACCTAGATTCATCGCTAGCCAAGAACAAAGCGGCCTCCGCCACATCCTCAGCCGTGGGCACCACCCCTTTCAGGGTGGCGGACTCGGAAATTATCCGCTCCACCACGCTCTTCTCCACGCCCATGGCCTTCACCAGCAGCGGCGTCGCGACGGCGCACGGGGAGAGGCAGTTAACTCTGATCCCAAACTGCCCCAGCTCCACGCACAAGTTCTTCGTCAACCCCACAATCGCGTGCTTGGAAGCCGCGTAGGCATGCGGCGCCTCCCCGGAAACCACCGACGAGACGCTGGAGGTGAACAGGATCGCGCCTTTTCTCGCCGGAACCATAACCGCCGCCGCGTGTTTCGCGCCCAAGAACGCCCCCAACACGTTCACCTCCAAAACCCTCTTGAAGTTCTCGTCGTCGGAGCCTAGGATTGACGGCTCCACGTTCCCGGTGATCCCGGCGTTGTTGAACATGACGTCGAGCTTGCCGAACGCGGAAACAGCAACCTCGACGACATTCTTAACCTCGGCGTCGCAGGTGACGTCGCAATGCACGTACAAAGCATCACTCTCCCCCAACTCCCCACAGAGCGCCTGCCCTAACTCGTCTTGCACGTCGGCGATAACCACTTTTGCGCCGTGCCGCACGAACAGCCTGGCGGTGCTTTCCCCAAAGCCGCTTGCCCCGCCGGTGATAATGGCAACTTTTCCGTCTAATCTGCATTCAAATTGCAACAACATAAGCAAAATTGTCTAGTTTCAGTTATATATAACCGATGTTAAGTACCTCTTGCCAGTGCGATCTTGCATGCCACACTCCATCTTGAACAATATAAATAGCAAGGCTAGAGATTGTCTCACTTGGCCTTATGAATCTCCACCTTCCCAAGACATGCTTTTTATAGGTAGCAAATTAAATAAAAATTTCATGGCAAATCCATCTCCAATCATCTCATCAAATTAGTTGGTTGTTAAATATAATCATGAGACTTTTAGTTTAATTGATCGAAAAAAACGGTCTCGAGTGAAATTTACCTCACGTACAAATGCAAGGGCAGATCCACAGTGGGGGCAGCTGACTTCCTTCCCCTACCCCATCCCTTTTAATTGTATGTATATGCCCCTTATGTATATACATAGTAAAGGTTTATATCTATCTACTAAATGTACCTAAATTTAAACAAAAGTTGAGCTAGTTTAGATGGTAAGGTATATTGTTTCTATCTTCCAAAATATCTCATTAATTAGTTTTAATCTTTCAATTCATTCCCACCAGGGAAGATTTCTGGATCCGTCCCTGCACAAATGTACATAGTATGTATAGTATTATTCAAAACAAATGGTGTGAGTTGTTGTGAAGCATTTAATGTTTGAATTGGCCGGATGGGAAGTGTTTATTTGTATGGCATTCTTTGTTGCATTATATTGGTAAGTTTAAACCCCAAACTTAAGCGTTTTTCGCCTTCCATTCTGAAGACCAGTGGAGGAAGTAAATTGTTAGATTTGCCTTGTACACTAGTCCAAGTCCATACATCCATTTTTATTGGTTCTTTGTTGCATTATATTGATGTTATTAGGCAAACATGCATGGCATGGGACCTAACATTTGACATGGCGACCTTTGACAGCAGTTTTAATTTAATTTGATTCACTAAAAAAGGTAGACAAGATAGAGTAGCCTGGTATGGGGATCCATTCTAGTTCTAGTAAGCAAAAAACAATTAAAGTCAACAGTACAAAATATTTAAGATGGAATGCAGATCGATCTGATCTTGCAGCTACTACTGAGGATGAGAGATTAATTTAGAGGCCGGTTGATGTATAAATGATAGCCATGTGGAATTGTTAAATGCAATAAATGATACACATGATGAATTATTGAAGATTTGGGCACCCATAATGTTTTACAGTTGGATAAATTTTTGAAATATGGGAGATTATTTGAATTTATTTTTTTTTTGATAATAATCCAACTTCTCCGAATTTATTAATTAGACTATATATCATGTACTTTATGAACCTATCTAAAGACGTATAAAAAAGTAAATCCTGAAGATTTTCACCATCACTAATATGATCGATCTCCACCCTATTGCTTGAAATTGGATTAGATGTTGATAACAAGGGGAGCATGCACTCCGATAAACTTCTTATCGGACAGGCCCGCGAAAACTCCATGTCATCCTCCTCTAGGATTTTTTTTGGAGAGGGTGAGAAGGATACTCCAATTCAACACCCTCAAACCACAATGATGGGTCCATGCACAAATAAACTCTTACACATGAGAGGTAAATCGTATTAGAAAGACTATGTGCAATGAGTTTGACCAAAAAATAAAATTTTGTTAAGAATCAAATTTATACCTTATTATAGTAGGAGACTTATATTTTACTCACTTGACTATCAACTTATCCCTATGGAAGCTTATGGTTACATTTTGGTGAGATTTGTTTAGACTCCACTAGTGTTGCTTGATCTAATTAGTTTGTTTAGCTTTTACTCTTGTGGTTTTCCTTAATCTGTTAAAAATTATGCATGATATTACCATCATGTTTTTCGATGCAAATAATGGGCAAATTATTCTGTAGAATGGTGAATCTGGATCTAAAATACATAATTTTCATATTGCATATTTAAAATTTTATAAAAAGTAAATTGTGTATTTTGGATACGAGTCCATCTTATCTTGGTCCATGGTATAACAACCGCAAATAATGTGAATTAAACAAATATGCTTTACTTTAGATTGGGCTAAGCTTACAAGTCCAGGCCCAAAATAATATTAGGATACGATTAACACCGGCCCAAAAGTATAGAGAAAGCCCAATAAAGTATCCAGATAAAAACCCGCCTTTTATACCTTAATTTCCCCAACCCTAGCGGAATCTCTGTCGTCTCCTACAGCAAAACCTTCCCGCCTCGCCGGAAACTCTTCGCCGGAGCAGCCATGGGTCGCGTTCGTACCAAGACCGTGAAGAAGTCGTCGCGCCAAGTCATCGAGCGGTATTACTCGCGCATGACGTTGGACTTCCACACCAACAAGAAGGTGCTGGAAGAGGTGGCCATCATCGCGTCCAAGCGCCTCCGCAACAAGATCGCCGGGTTCTCCACCCACCTGATGAAGCGGATCCAGAAGGGACCCGTCCGGGGAATCTCTCTCAAGCTTCAGGAGGAGGAGAGGGAGCGGCGTATGGACTTCGTCCCCGACGAGTCTGCCATCAAGGTGGACCGCATCGAGGTCGATCAGGAGACCATTGACCTGCTCGCTGCAATGGGCATGAGCGATCTCCCTGGGGTTGTGCTCAAGGATGAGCAGCAGTCTGTCATTGCCCCCGCCGCCGTCTACGGCGGCGCCCGCGGTGGCTTTGGAGGAAGACGGTACTGAAAGGAGTCGTAGACTTTTCTTCTCTTGACTTTATTATGTTTTTTTTGGAAGATTTTGCAGTTTTGATGGCTTCAGCTTGTGGGCAGTCTGAAATTTTGTTTTACCAATTGATAAATTGTTATAGATTCAAAGTTTTATATGCTTGATTGCTAATTTTGCTATTTCTTTATTGAAAGTTTCAATCTTGGTTTTGGTTTCTTGTAAAGGTTGAGCCTTTTTCCTGATGTTGTTATGTTAACACTTTAGAACCATTGGATACTAGGTTTTCGACTTAGTCGGACTATATTTTAGATACCATGAACCCCTTACCTATAAGATTGTAAACTATAGTCTATATCCACTATATCTTAGATTCTATGAATCTCCGGCCATGCTTCTGCATCCCATGAACCCTTGACCTATAAAATCGTAAATTATATTCACTGTATCCTAGATCCCATGAATCCCCGGCTATGCTTCTGAGCACAAGAAGCCCAACTTAAATCCAAATTCTCAATGTTTTGTTTGGAGTAGGAATCAAACCCTCACTATTTTCTTTTTACTCTAGTTTCAAATGTTTGCATTTCAAGTGTTTGAAACCATGTTTTATGCATTTGTTATGAGCTGCATAGGTACTTGAAAGACAATTTCCTAATTCTATACTGAAAATGAAAATGGGATATGAATCTTATCAGAATTCTATTCTTAATATAATTTGATAGGAACCAATTCTTGAATACCTGTTAGAGTGTCTTGAATACCTAAGCTATATAACCTATATTCCTCACTCACAATTAATTACCTTGAAATCTCCTTAGAATTTGCTAATTAACTTTTATGGTAGAGGCCAATTCTAAAGGATTAGGAGTGAAAGTAACTAATTAACTTTTTATGGTAGAATCGAACTCTAAAGGATTGTTAAGTGTATGATAGAAAGGACATTGCAATTGTCATCTCTATATTCAATGGTGCGTTTTTCGTTCCAAATAGGTTCTTATGATGATTTAGTGATTTTTCGGAATTTCTCATTTTATGATTATAAGAATAAACCATATGATTTTAACTTTAGTTAATAGGTAAAATTCAATGAATATTGAATATAATAATTTTTTTCGTTTATACTAAAAATAAAAAAGAAAAACAAAAAACTACTCTAATTACAAAAACTGAAACCATACAAGTCCAACAATATTAGCCATAAGGCCTAAACCATATAGGAATTTAATGTTTTTGAGGATTTATTTACTAAAGTCAATATGTGTAGACATAATAAGCCCAAAAGTAGATAAATATGTGATGTTTCCATCATAATCTTAATGCTCAATTAATGTGAATAAATAAAATCAATTTAAAAGATTATTTTTTGCCAAAGATGAACAATATACTTGAAAAAAATAATTGAATAATAGTATTATATTATAGGAGATTTTAGAAATTTGTTGTTTAATAATACATTATCAACTAAACATTTCAAAGGACAAAATGGGTAATAGGAAAGACAATGAAGGTTTCCAAAAGCCTAGGACTAGATGTTATGTTTAGGTACACAAGCCTACAACTAAACATAAGATGAGGTTTTTATAAGTGTTATAATACAGAGGTTAAGTCTTTTAATCTTGTATTAACCTCTAAAAGTTATCTCTAAAAACACCTCTGAAAGTGTTAATTGCATTTTTTATGTGAATTTAAGGATCTAATAATTAGGGTTTTTAAATAAAGAAATAAAAAATTAAAGACCCAAATGCATCATCTCATATAATTTGATGACTTATTTGACTATTTGAAAAAAAATAATTAATTACATATTGATAGGAAAATACATAGCGTATCAAGTAACTCCTGATCTAGATCAGACTATAGTTGTGTACTTTCCGATCTTGCCAACTGAAAACCCAATCCTACTTGAAAGGTTAATGACCCGCGAGATGCCACTCTAGTCGTCCCAACAACCTTGATCAAATCAATTTGAATGTGTGTCATTCCAACCTAAATGGTGTATGGGTAGGCGGCTAGGCGCCACGCATCCCTATCTAGAGGAAGTCCCAACATGTGTCCCTCCACCCATTGTTATAAAGGGCAAGTAACCCTTCAGAAAATGAAACTTCTTGATTACTTATCAACCTATTCATAATAGTCTGACTCTAATATTTTAACAGGTATTTATATACCGAAAAATCACATACGTCAATAATATCACTTAAAAAACACTTCCTAATACGTTTGGATCTTTGCATAAACTCTACTGTATATTTTACCCATTGGTAATTAACTTTATCACATATAATAGGTGCGATTGGATGTTGGATGGTGGATGGGTGGTACTTTTAAAGTTCATCTTTGATCCACATCACAACAAGTTAGAACTACTTTTAGCATCCAGTCTAAACTCACCCATTTACCTAAATAGTAATCTTACCCATACGTGCTTCTTTCTTTCTTTCTTTCCTTCTTTCCTTCTTTCCCCCCTAATACAAGAAAAAAAAAATCAAATAACAAAACAAATTTAGTTCAAGCAACATGCATCCACTATATCTGCAACGAAATAATTGAAAAACGTGTTCCATCTCAACTAAAAGTCTAAACTGATAGTTTAATTGCACATTTAGGTGCTGGTGTGTGTGTTGTTAGTCAATTTACACATAAACATACTTTTTCATGAATGTTTCGTAATAAACAAACTCAACCTCAGCTCGTTGTAAGAGTTTTTTTTTTTTTTTAAAGGATTGAATCTTAGGTCAACTAATGAGATGGATTTGGGCAATTCTTTAAGGTGAAAACATTACTGAAGCCTGCAAACACAATAAAAAAAAAAAAAATACATTTATAATAAATTAAACACAGTAAATATAAATTATGATCAATAGGGGTGGCTCTACTGATCTTGAATGTTCATCAATTCTCCTGCTGGCAACGAAGAGATATAGACACTGCATGTTAATGGTGATTGAATGCATCTCTGGACAGTGAATTAAGAGGGTTAATCAGTTAATGCCTTGCATGCAATTCAATGAGAGGAGGTTGAGAGTTGAATTCAATTCCTTATTTTCTTTAATTTTATTTAATTTCAACCAATTTAAATCATTTTTACTGTATAGTTTTCTCAATCTATCTTCTCTTTAATGGTATACAATTCATCCAATTAATATTTAGCTGCGTTGCATGGAGTCAACTTTGATATATATGTGAATGTATATATTAGACAGAGTGGATGAATCTATTGAGGGATTGATTTGATATCTCATTAACTATGCCTTGAGGTACATTTTTATTGGTCTGATCACCTGTTAGTCGATGGTTGAGACACGTCTCGTGACTTATCTTTCTCACTAACACATTAAAATAAAGACAGTTTGGGAGCTTTCGAAATTAAAGTACAATCATTTTTAATATGTCGTTAAGTATGACTCGCTGATTTACGACATATAAAAATGTTATGTTTTTGTTAAAAAAAAAAAACATTATAGTGTAAGAAAGAAGAATAAATATATATATATATATTGATGAATTAGCAGACACATATTTAATCAGCTGTACAATTTAGCAGTAAGAATCGAAACAAAGGATGTGAAGACTTAATACCTTTCTCCTGGGAGTTGTCAGTGTGTGCCTATACAATGAAATGGTCCCTTTAATTTTTAATGTGACAGGTAATAAATTGCAGTAATAATTCAATATGTAATTTAATAGTAGGTGTACTTTGTTTTCAATTTAATATAATTAAATAAACACAAATAATTTTAAAAAAATATTGATTTTATTTTCCCTTACAAATCAACATAATATATCGAAGAATATAATAATGTCACACATATATATATACAAGCAAAGTCTTGCTATTGTGATTAAAATATTGTCAAAATGTAACCATAGAGCCAAAAAAAGTCATATCATTTTACTAACCTTTGACATATAAATGATAAGTCAAATCACTACGTGAATAGTTATTTCATTTATGAAAAAATTTACAACTGTTATTCGAAAATGTATTCTAGTTGAATATCGTCATAAGACCTTAGTCAGCAAAGGACCATAAGAAGGTATACTAATTTAGGTTGTCTGAACCAAGACTATGTGGTCTAATGGTACCCGAGTTGGACTTCCATTTGGAAAGTTGTGAGTTGAGAAAGTATATGAACAGATACTACATTGTAATTATCCGATCAATTCGACTGGGTTGCCCCAATACACACTATTAGGATTGGGCAAGGTGGGTATCTAGTTCGCAAATTTACATACTCCGAGCATACAATGTTAACATATATGTAACTGATTACCTTGTTTTGTAAGTTTCTTTCAAATACTGCAGTCACACAATATTAACAAATCAAGATTTGGTGACCATGTATTATATCAACAAATTCCTTTCTACAGTCGTTATGTGTTTTGACTTAGAAAAATAATTTATATTCTTGAAGTTCACAATTTCAATACTAAAAAATAAAAATACACAATTTATATGCCGTTTAGGACCAGGGTCCACCTTGCAAGGTGGACCTTGGTCCATTGTATAACAAATCTATCTTGTTTTACCCAAGTTGTCACCATTTCTAAGTCAACATGTTCATTGACACATACATATTAAATTAATCGTTGTCATTATAAACTAATTAAATAAAAGGAATAAGGGTCAAATAGGCCATCGAACTGCACCTAATAATGCAATTAGGCCATCGAACTTTAAAAAGCAACAATTAGCTCCCTGAACTAACTAATTCTATTCAATTAGTCCAATTTGTAGGTTTTGGAGGTTATTAGCAGGTCACCCCTAATTTATAATATTTTTAAAAAATTATTATTTAAAATACTTATTTAAAATTAAAAAAAAAAAAAAAAAAAAAAAAAGATACCGTCTGCCGGAGACGAAGAAACCTTCTTCGTCTCCGGCCATGGAGACGGAGTTAATTTCTTCGTCTCTGGCCGGAGACGAAGAAGGTTCCTTCGTCTCCGGCCAGAGACGAAGAAGTTAACTCCGTCTCCGGCCATGGAGACGAAGATATTCTTCGTCTCCGGCCATGGAGACGAAGATATTATTCTTCGTCTCCAGCCAGAGACGAAGAAGATTTCTCCGTCTCCATGGCCGGAGACGAAGAAACCTTCTTCGTCTCCGGCGTGTCAATCTCTGTTTTTTTTTTTTTTTTTTTTTTTTTTTTAATTTTAATTATTAATATTAAATAATTATTTTAAATAATAATTAATTTTTTTTTTGAAAAGAGGTAACCTGCTAACAACTTGGAAACCTACAAATTAGACTAATTGAATAGAATTTGTTAGTTCAGGGACCCAATTGTAGCTTTTTGAAGTTCGGTGGCCTAATTGCATTATTGAGTGCAGTTCGATGGCCTATTTGACCCTTATTCCTAAATAAAATTATGTTTTTTAATGTTAAATAATAATTTTTAAATATTTCTCGAATCCAATCGTGACAAGTAATTGAATTATACAAACTTTAGTTTAATATCATTCAATAGCATTGACTTTTTTGATAATCTTTATTTAATATTTTACCATAAATTAGCCAGAGACTACTACCCATCTGGCTTTTCTCTTTATTTATGTACTACTTGTCAACGGAAATTTTTTGCAGACTAATTAAAAAGTGAAGTTTTGGTAACGTGAGAAAGTTTAAAAATTAATTGTCTTTTTCGGTCAAGTCCATCACACATAGTTACATAATCATCTTAATGTGTTTTTTCTTTCCTGTGTGATTTATAAGTTATTATATAAAAGATGATTTATTTAGTTTGGTACATACTCTTTTAAATAGTAACCATAAATTCCTTTTGTCATCGACTTTAAAGTAAAAGTTAAAAGAAAAAAACCTAAAAATTAATTAACATGAAAAAGTTGTCACTTTAAATATAAAGTTAATTTTTTTTTTTTTTTTTTTTTTTTACTTCATTGCAGAAAAAAGTGTCAGCAACTTGGTATCGACGCTCAAGAATTATGGCTGATTTTACTAATCAAAGAAAAAGGTGCGTGCATGTATGTGCATGTAAATTTTTTCTTTGTGCAATAACCACGTGATTGGATTGGCATAGCAGCCGGTTGAATTTCATCATGCACGTACGTCTACCCATACACACATGGGTTTACTAATCCAGTCCGCATAGACAGCTCAATTGGTCACATGAATGAAATTTAAAAAGAATAATTAATGATCGAGTCTCATCAACGGTAGTATGGAAGCAACCTCTCAAAATGAGGGAGTTTCTTGTGCGCAATAAGCAAAGTTCTAATTTTTATGTTCAATTAAGTTACCATAATTTACGTCCCAAAAATATTATGTCGGGTCGGAATGTGGGGGCCCTTGCCTGTTTTAACGATCACATGTGAACTTGTATTAAAATGAGATATACAATTACACCGTCATAATAGTGATGATGCAATGTATATATATGCACGCACAACATCTCATTTGAAGTGGTGGATAAGATAGAGTTTGAACGTTGATCGAGTTTTTTTGTTTTGGGTGACAAGTCACAAAATTGACCAAATTTCACGGTTGATGGCTGGCCTTCAACATAAATCCCTAAACTCAAGGGATTTGACCCAAAGCTTCATAAATATGTACACATGCAAATAAATAAAAGTATAAAGTATACATATATAAAGATTTTACTACCAAAATTGTCTAACACAATAGAAGGTAATTTCTCAAACTACTGTAAAAAAATTGCAATTTAACACACAAATTCAAAAAATTCCAAATAAATACTTGGATTTACCATTGGGTGAAGCTCACCTTTTAATTATAACCGGCAAAGAATCTTAATGAGGTAAACCAGAATAGGTTACTTCCACAGAAAGTTAAACTTGATATTTTATAGTTACTCAGTCATCTACCAAATTAACCAACTCGGCTGGATTTGTCCCATTCCAAATAAGCACTTGAAGTTGTGAAAAGACCGAAAGAGGATTTTACCGAAAGCTTCAATTCATAATAAATATGTTCAAGGGCTTATTTAACCCTTAATTGCTAGCCAACTTCTGCATTGACCAAATAATAACATTTTTTTTTTTGAAAGGATATAACATATTATTTGTTATTCTCCCTTAGGTTTACAAATTGTATAGCATCTCTCGAAAGATTAGACCCTATTCTTTTTGCAGATCCTAAGAAAATATTTGTAAACATACTTTAAAAAACTGATAATATTAAGATGCATTAAATGGTATTGAATAAGAAGAAAAATACATTTGAGATGGTATGAAGGTAATCCAAATCTGCTAACATCAATCATTCGGTGGAGAAATTTTGTACGTATTTGAATGAAATAAATTAAAGCTATATATAGTCAATGATATTGCGTGATCTTTGGAAAAATTAGGAAGGAAATTCGGAGTTTACTTATTTATTTTATTCGTTTAATCATTCAATTTTTTAAATGAAAAATTAAAAAAAAAAATTGAATCTACGATGCCCAAAACTTTTTTTTTTTTTTCAATTTTTGGATGGCTTTTTTTTGGGTTCATTTTTAAATTATTATTTTGTGGAAAATATTAATCATTTTAAATTGATAAATAAATGTATTAATTTTGATTTTTGAAAAAGTAAAAACTCAATTTTAAAAAGATTTTTGGATGTGGGCCAAATCGGGTTGAGATTTTTTACTATATTAATGGTCCAACCCAACTAAACTCAGTCTAGTTCAAATAGTAACTGAGTAGATCATGAGTCGACCAGCTCTTTTAACACCATTCGAAAAGATAGAAAGATATCAATAAATGTCATTTGATTCGGGAGACATTTTTTTTCAAAATAAATCTTTGTTTCTTTGATCATAATATATTTTTTTGGCAAACTTTATTTTCTTAATTTTCAAATAAGCTCTAATAAAATTAAAATGTTGAAATTCAAAGTTTAATGAAATGGAATTTTTTTGTATATAAAAATAAAATAAAATAATTCATTCATTAATCATGAGTTGTCGTAAGTCAGTCGTAAGTAGAATGCCCCTCATACGTAACTTTGGAATTTATTATGGATAGCTATTGAAATTTAATAAAGGTGTCTGGTTGGATTTGTTAGAAATTTATTATTATTGTAATTAAAACAATGAAACTAACAATAAAACGCATTCATGCATCTTTTTGGGTGACGAGATACGCGTAGTCATTATTTGAAGATGTGTAAACTGTACTAGAAATAACTCGTGAGGCAGATTTATGATCGAGAATTATGTTTCATCAATTTGACTGCCTTTTTGAGGCTAAAATTTCTTCTTCTTTTTTTTTTTTTTCTTAAATGTACCTAAATTTATAGTTTTAGATATTGAGCTTACCGACTATTATAAATAAAAATGTATGGTAATGTTTTTATAGTAATAATAATTGTTTTTTTTTTTTTACTATTTACAACAATATAATCAACATGTTTATTTACTAAATAATATCAATAAAATATCTTATTTTAAACAATTTTTTGATTATCCAAAAAAATTGTTATTAAATATTTTAAATTTTCAACTCTTCCAACCGCCACAAACAAAATAAAAGCCTAGAAATGGGTTCATGCCATAACGTCATGGTTATGTTTTAAAAATTACGACCACTATCGATTGAAAATCTATGACAACTTGACCTAACAACTTTTTCAATGATTTTTATTGGCGGATAATATTATTGATAACTTTCAACGGATGATCTATAATAACAATAAATAATTTTTCGAATCGTTGTAGTGGTTGAAAAGTCTAATTCTGACATGAAATTTTTTTATTTTTTTTTTATAACTACTTGATAATAAATAATAACAAAAAATTCAAAAAGTTTACTGTTGTACTATTAGTTTAATTAATGTATAGCATATAACTCGGCATTACAACTACATGCCAACAATGTTTTAATTTCAAACCACTTGCATTACCATTTAAAACTTTGGTTGGCCATACATGTACATGTTAAATAGTTAAATACATAAATACATATAAAAATGTACAAATGTGAATTTGATGGTGTGTAACGACTTTGTACTCACCAACCATCCTTAACTCACTCCCACATATGTACTAACAATTTAGAGGTTGTCATTTGAGCCTACAATACAAGGTCTTTTTAGTATTGATTTGTAGACAATTACAAATAATTGTAGTTTATTCTGTGTGTACTCTCGCTCTCGTGTAGTAATTGCAGGTTTTCATGACCAATCAAATTAAAGGTGTTGAATCCGAGGAGATAGAGTAGCTAGTGTTGTTTAAAATTAAATGTGCAACGCCTTCTCGGTCAAACTAATATCTTTCTAGTGATGTTTGTCTTTTAGTGTAACTTGCGGGCTACTACTATCACCATATCTTTTATTTTCTGGTAATGACTTCATATTTTCACGAAATAAAATGGCGTTGAATGCGTGGAGATGGAGTAGACGTAGTATTAGTGCGTAATGCATTATTTTCTTGTCCACAAAAAGAGAAATTTTCTCGCCCCGAGTCCCCACATTCTGACCTAATAAGATAATGATGGGATAAATCACGGTGACTCATCAACTCATATGACTCGTGCCTGGTGCCTGATGCCTGGTGCCCACAAAAAATCACCACATTAGGTGTAATTTTCAGCAACGGTAAAGGCTTGATTCTATGTCCTTGCCCCTACCATTAACACCCAGAAACTAACTGAGCTACCCAATGCATCATTTTCTTCGCCTGAAAGGTTGAATCCAGAAACTAACTTGAGCTACCCAATATAATGCATCATTTTCTTCGCCTGAAAGGTTGAATCCTAACTCCAAGGGCTCCACACCCTAACCCAAAAGAACATTTGAAATGATATAAATCACGATGATTCAATAGTTCAGCCGACAATATCAAATGTTGATGCGCACAAGAAATATGTTTTGCCCACTTTAGACTACCGATGACGAGGTTCGAACATTGGTCTCACATGTGAATTCATCATTTTCTTGTTGTACATCTTGTCGTTGTAGTAAATCGAGAACATAAACAAATCCTTTAATTGCAAGGGGTCAAACGTGATACATACGACATAGAATTGAAGCATCCTGGAAAGCATTGATGCATCTCAATATATACAGCTAGGCTTCATCGTCGTCATCGTCATCAACGCAAAAACAGATACATATATACAGTAGCCATGGCTGAGCATATATATGTATGTATATTGTCATCGTATCATCGATCTACCAGCTACAAATTCACACCGACTCTCTGCACTGGACTTCACTACTTCACTTAATATATTATCGTAAATGCATTATATATTTACTCCAATTTTCCTTTTTCTGCATCCATCTTGGGATTTTTTCCATCAATTAATACATTTGCTGCCCCTCGATTTACTCTCTCTCTCTCTCTCTCTCGTCTTCTACCATTCCCTCCTTCAATTCCATTGAATGATCATTTCAATTCTTATCAATTCAATTCCCTTTCTCTCTCTCTCTCTCTCTCTTGCTTTCTTTCTTTACAATTACACCCCCCCAACCCCCATGATTTAATTAATTAAGCTTTAAAGCAATCCCATCTTTCTCTGCTATATATATATAGGCTCTTCTCCTTCCATCGCCACCAAAACCCATCCCTTCATCTGGTGGAGCTCCGCCGTGACGACCGCCCCCCCGCTTTGCTGCAAATTCCGGCCGCTTTTTTCAGGTTTTTTCCAAATCTTTCTCAATTTCAATTCCGTGCCTCCCTTCACTTCTCGCCACTGATTTTTGGTGTTGTTTAATTAGCTATCATGAGCCGGAGGAACGGGAATAATGGAGGGCCGAAGCTGGACTTGAAGCTAAACCTGTCGCCGCCGAGGATGGGGCGCCAGGCGGCGCACGAGTCGCCGGGGCGATCGTCGACGGTGTCCCCGACGTCGCCGCCCAGCTCGTGCGTTTCGTCGGAGAACCCGGAGGAGTCCCGGCGTTACTCCAGCAGCCCGGAGGCGGCGGCCATGGTTCTCGCCGGCTGCCCGCGGTGCCTCATGTACGTGATGCTCGCCAAAGACGACCCCAAATGCCCCAAGTGCAAAAGCTCCGTTTTGCTCGACGTTTTCTGCGACCATAACAATAACAAGAGCGCCGGCAAGAGTTAGGGATTCATCATATCGTCGTCAAGAATTAGCGAATTATTCAACCGGTTTAATGTTAGATCAACAACTGTTGGATTGAGATTGATCAACGTAAAAGTTACTAGGACGATGTATAATCATCCTATTATTGTTAGTATTATTATTATTATTATTGTTATTGTTATCATCATCATCTTCTTCATTGTGATAGTTCTATACTCTGTAACTGTAGGAGTATAGGCAATGGAAGTAGGAAATTAATCTGGGTACAATTATGTTGGTTGGTGTAAGTTTTTGATCTATCTTTAGCAGAAACCGATGTAAGCAATGGGACAACAACTCAGAATGCCCAGATTTATTTTATGTATAATTTTTTAGGTTATTTTTGTACTTCATGTCTGCCCCTTCCTCTGCAGACGACTTTCATTTTATTTTATTTTATACTACAATAGTATCCGCCCCTCATGAGAGAGTCAAGTTTCGTTAGAGTTTAACTTTAATTTTTTTTTTTTTATCTGCTATCAAAGGGTGCGCTCTGAGTGAAGTCCACCTAGTGATCATAGCTCGTAAAGAAATCATCATAGATTATCCATAACTGATTGATTCAAATCAAGAAAACTAATATATAGTTTATACCAGAAATCAAACTTGAAACTTATTAGGGTTAAGTTCAAACATTTTTATGCATAAGATTTTTTTTTTTTTTTTTTTTTTTGTACTTATTGAATTGATATAATTAGTACAAAGTATCTCACAAAAGTTGACTAATCTAATCCAAATTTAAGAGGGTTCATTTTTTATTTTTTTTTCCTTTTGTATACTTATATTAGTATCTGCATTTCTTATATGAGACTAATCTAATCAATTTTTGGTGAAATTTCATTAAATAAGGAACTTTTTGCATGGCTTGATCGAATTCAAATAAAAAAAAAAATAGTTTAGTGGTGCCAGCTTGAATTCAGAGGGGGGGACATATGAGCAAATTTTTATAATTTTAACCGAATTAATTAATTACCCAAATGTCAAAACACAAGGAAAAAATAAAAATAAAAATAAAGTAAGAAAAAACAGTGAGTGACTGTTTGGTCTGGCAAAGTATATTTTCTGATTTTCCAGAACCTAGAAAGAATACACACGAATGTTATTGTAATTTTGGACCCACCCCCTGAGGTTACATTGGCCCATCTTGGGTGATTTTGTCGCAAAACCTTTAACATTATCTATTATCCAACTGCATTTTGTTTAGTAAAATATTAACTATATTTTCAAGAATATATATTCTCCTGCCACGAAAGAGATAGTTGAATATGTGAAACATGATTTTTACACAATAAAATTATGAATTTAATTTTTATCAACATCCTGTTAGCCGAGTTCATTACATTGAATCTTCCTAACTGGTGCTATTAACTTTTTCTGTGTAGTTTACGAGCTATTATCCAAATGTAAAATTTAATCAATACATACCTGCATATAATAATTGCGAATTTGTCTGTTATTCAACAAAAGTACATATTCTCGCATATTTAAGTGGAATCAAAATGTTTTGTGGAATGAAACAATATGGGACCATGTATAATCTGATAATTAATATTATTAACTTAAATGTTTAGAAGATTAGAATACAATTACATGCTAAGAGAATGATATTGAAACAATACAAATGGTTAGAATATAATCATAGACACAAGTCATACAATCATCAAATTATGAATTTCGATCAAGCGGTATTTCCCTTCGATAATAAAAATAGACACACTCAGCTCATCATATCAATTATCAAATTAAGAATTTCAAGTGAATATCTCCCTGCAATTTTGCAGCGATGGTGATTCCATATGTAGACATAAATATCATTAACGATGCTTAACACACACGTCTAATATAATTGAAGCTTTCGAGTTTTGATCCATTTATATCATGAATATCTGTTGAATGACCTTTATTTTGACTTATGTCATACAATAACAGATATTAGATATTCAATATTTCATCAAATCATTTTCTCTCATTTTTAATGAAAAAGAAAAAAGTCAGTTTGGTAGTTGACCAGAACATTATATTGATTTTTTTTTTTTTTATCTATGTTTTTTTTCCTAACTAAATTTGATTATAAAATTTATAATATGCGCAACAACGAACCACGCAACAAATAGATAGACCGACAAAGTTTTAATTTGCTGATGGGAGCATCTAGCGCCTTACTTTTTGCAAGTAGTTCAACGTCAATATTATAATAAATAATTTTTATTTTTTAATAATTAGCACAATAATTTACCTCACAGGTGTATATCTAATTATTATATGCATCGATAAATATCATCAAATATAATAAATATCATTTCTGAAAGAGATTGTTGAGAGGTAGAGCATGATTCATATACTAAAGGAGTAAAGGTCACATGTTTGATTATTGTCAACACTTTTTTTATCGAATCTGTAGTATAAGATCTTCTTAGTGTGTGTGTATTTTACTCAATCAGTCAATTGTTCCAACTTAAAACGCTGTAAATTAATATCAGGCTATATACATAATTATAATAAAAATGATGAATAATACATACAAACTATAAAAATGTCATCTTTAATATTTTTTTATACCCCATCATTCCCATTTTATGTGTGCTACATATATATGAACACTCAATTCAAATTATTAAATATTTAATTTATGTTATTAATTAATGTCATCTTTTTCCCCCTTTGTTATATACTTATAGCACTTTTTCCCCCTAAATTATTTAAGTGCAGTTTTTCCCCCTGATATATAAAATGGACATATTTACCCTTAAAATAAATATTTCATTTATTTTTCTTCTCCAACAAATTATAACCACGATTTGAAAAAATAAAATACATTAAGTGTTGAATTTAGAATATTTTAAAAATAAAAAAAATAATAAAATTTTAAAAGAAAGTTTGAACCAACCGTTCAAATTGGATCCAAAATCGTGAACCGACGGTTCAAAATAAAACTCAAACCGCGATTATATATACTTATATGTGAGAGTCAATATAAATGCGGAAAAAAACATACACTATTTGCAAATATTATAATTCTAATTTAAGCTATTGCTAGTAGTTGTTTCGATTTGAACCTCCGGTTCATGGTTCAGGATCCATTTTTTTCCAGTTCACGATTTTAATAAACGGAAACCCAAATATTGGGTTATGTTATGAATCATAACCGAAATTTTTTAATTTGATTGTTATAGTGTTTGGTTCAGTTCGAACCGAACCGTGGTCATCCCTACGTATAAGCAATAATTTGTTGAAGAAGAGAAATAAATAAAATATTTGTTTTAAGGGTAGAAATGTCCATTTAATATTAACAGGGGGAAAAACCGCCACTTCTATAATAATTGAGGGGGCAAATGTGAATGCATGAATAACTCAGAGGGAAAAAGTGCTATAAGCATATAACACAGGGGGAAAAAGTGCCATTTTCCCTTAATTTTATATTAACATATGCATTAAACTCAAATAAACAGCCAAAAGGGAAAGTTACAAAAAATTGTTTAATAAAAGCAGTAAAGAAAAACAATAATTGTAATTGATGCGTTCTATAATTTATCAAAAATATAATTCTTTCTAAAAAGAGAATATTACTGAAGTGAATATAATAATACATTTATTAATTTATTCAAAGTAATTTCAAATATTAATTTAATTTGCACTTTTATATTTCTTGTATTGAGTACAATCTTATATTGATTGTAAATTTTTGAACAAAATATTAGATTATATTAATAAGGGAAAATTTCACTTTTCGTTCCTAAGTTATATGATAATTGTAGAATTTGTTATTAATTATTGCTCATGCTCACTTTTCGTTTTATTATTGGCGTTGCACTTTTTATCTCTTTATTAACAAAACATTACAGACAAAATTTGTAACTTTAGTATAGCTTATGGATAAAAAGTTAATAAAATGACGAAAAATGCAGCACCAATGATATCTTAAGGGTAAAATAGTGAACCCGCTCAATATTTATGGACAAATTTTACAATTACCCTATTACTTAGGGATGAAAAGTACAATTCATTTTTCTTTCATAACATTTGAAGGGGCCAATGGTGTGCATTAATGCATTTACACATATCAATCAATACGTATAATAACTACTATATAAATACATACATATACATAGTATTGTAAAATTATGTATTTTTCTGATAGTGTGCATTTGATAAATCTCAATTTGTGATTCTAGTTGACAAAGAATCAAAATAAAATAAATGAACTTAAGTTTTCTATAGTTGATCTGCTCAAATTATGATAGTCAATAAACCGCTCCATTGGTAATTGCGCTTTTTTGGCATTGCAGAACTAATTGTAATGAAAAAATATAGCAATAAAATGGTGAATGTGATGTGGTAATTAGGTGGAAGAGAGTGAATGGGTTAGGGTAAATGTGTAAATTTGGGAAAGAGGAGAAGGTAGTGAGTTGGAAAGGGGTTGGTAGTTCGAGCATTGAAAAAGGGTGGGGGGCACTGCATTAGATTGAGAGTCCATTAAAATGACATAAATGCCATAGTAATTGAGACAGTTGACAATAATGAACCCAATTACGTCATATGATACAATCATAAATAGTAAAATTCCAATTTATTGTGTTTCCCTCCCCCATTAAATTCATCTTTTTTAACTACTGTTCACTTTTTCTTTTCTATGAACAACCTGTGCTCATTTACTAATTGATAAATTTTTTCAAATTTTTAATACAATTTTTCATTTTTGAAAACAGGAAACAATTTTTAATTTTATAGAAAAACTGAAAAACCTTTTAAAAACTGCTTTTTTTTAATAAAAAACATAATTATCTATTATCTAGTTAGCTATACAGTAATACACATTACTATAATGTACTCCGTACTTACATATTTATTCATTACAATGACTATACTCATTATCATCTTCTTTTACTTTATCACCATTTTTTATCTTTTCTACTTACATTACTTATTTAAACATAACTTATTTGCTTACGCTTAAAGTTAGACATTATTCACATTATCAAAATTTAAAATTGAACTCTATACCAAGTTTTATATTTTGATTGAGCTCAATTGATTATTGATTCGGATATTTTTTAGTTATGTTGTTGATAGGAAATATATCCCGGTTATAACTTCCCTATAAGTCTATGCTCTCATTTTATAGTCGGGTCGGGTCAAACGGTTCGCACATGGTCAAAGTCACGGCCCAACTCTTGGGCCTATATAAAGGGCCCTACCCCCCCTTTCCACTACCCCTCTCTCTCTCTCTCTCTCTCTCTCTCTCTCTCTCTACACTTACCCAATTCCTCTCGACTCTCTAGAGGATACATTATATTGAATAAAAGAGGTTTTCTTGAGCTAATTTCTGGCTTTTTCTTTCTAGATTC